AGGAGGTTTGGAGCAGTTCCTGGAGGATCTCAGGAGGTTTGGGTGGTTCCTGGAGGATCTCAGGGGGGTTTGGGAGGTTCCTGGAGGATCTCAGGAGGTTTGGATGGTTCCTGGAGGATCTCAGGAGGTTTGGATGGTTCCTGGAGGATCTCAGGAGGTTTGGGAGGTTCCTGAAGGATCTCAGGAGGTTTGGGTGGTTCCTGGAGGGTCTCAGGAGGTTTTGGTTGGTTCTTGTGGAGTTTTTTGGGTTTTTTGGAGCTTCTCAGGTGGCTTTAGCCAGCAGGGGCTGTCGGGGCTCCCTGCTGACCCTTCTGGGGTGGCTTTTGGGGTCTCCAGGTGATCGAGAAGGCCCACAACAACGAGCTGGAGCCCACCCCGGGCAACACCTTGCGCCAGACCTTTGAGAACCAGGTGAACCGGATCCTCAACGACGCCCGCGACAAGACCGGCTCTTCTGCCCAGAAGTCCCTGTCCGAGTACAACAACTTCAAGTCCATGGTGGTCTCGGGGGCCAAGGGCTCCAAGATCAACATCTCCCAGGTTTGGGGGCCTCAGAAGATCCTGGGGGGCTCCATGTGGGGTTTGGGGCAGTTCCTGGAGGATCTCAGGGGGGTTTGGGGCAGTTCCTGGAGGATCTCAGGGGGTTTGGGTGGTTCCTGAAGGATCTCAGGAGGTTTTGAGTGGTTCCTGAAGGATCTCAGGAGGTTTTGGGCGGTTCCTGGAGGATCTCAGGAGGTTTGGGTAGTTCCTGGAGGATCTTGGGATGTTTGAAGCAGTTTTTGGAGGATCTCAGGAGGTTTTGGGTGGTTCCTGAAGGATCTCAGGAGGTTTTGGGTGGTTCCTGAAGGATCTCAGGAGGTTTTGGGTGGTTCCTGAAGAATCTCAGGAGGTTTTGGGTGGTTCCTGAAGGATCTCAGGAGGTTTGGGATGGTTCCTGAAGGATCTCAGGAGCTTTTTGGGCGGTTCCTGAAGGATCTCAGGATGTTTGAAGCAGTTCCTGCAGGATCTCAGGAGGTTTTGGGCGGTTCCTTTGCAATTCTCTGGAGTTCTCCTGACCCGAGGCGCTCCGGGCCGTGTCCCCGCGTGCCCGGCCGTTGTCCCCTCAGGTGATCGCGGTGGTGGGCCAGCAGAACGTGGAGGGGAAGCGGATCCCGTTCGGCTTCAAGCACCGGACGCTGCCGCACTTCATCAAGGACGACTACGGCCCCGAGAGCCGCGGCTTCGTGGAGAACTCCTACCTGGCCGGCCTCACGCCCACCGAGTTCTTCTTCCACGCCATGGGCGGCCGCGAGGGCCTCATCGACACGGCCGTCAAAACGGCCGAGACCGGTCAGTGTCCCCAGAAGGTCCCCGTGGACCTCCCGGGAAGCCAAAACTCCACCCGCGCCACCTCCAGGAGCTCAGAGTTCCAGCGTGGAAACTCTGAGGGCTCCAAACCCTCCCCAGATGCCTCCTGGAGATCCCAAACCCTCCCCAGATGCCTCCTGGAGATCCCAAACCCTCCCCAGATGCCTCCAGGATCCCCAACTCTCCCCAGATGCCTCCTGGAGATCCCCAAACCCTCCCCAGATGTCTTCTGGAGATCCCCAAACCCTCCCCAGATGCCTCCTGGAGATCCCCAAACCCTCCCCAGATGCCTCCTGGAGATCCCCAAACCCTCCCCAGATGCCTCCTGGAGATTCCCAAACCCTCCCCAGATGCCTCCTGACCCCTGGCCACCCACAGGGTACATCCAGCGGCGGCTGATCAAGTCCATGGAGTCGGTGATGGTCAAGTACGACGCCACGGTCAGGAACTCCATCAACCAGGTGGTGCAGCTGCGCTACGGCGAGGACGGGCTGGCCGGCGAGAGCGTCGAGTTCCAGAACCTGGCCACCCTCAAACCCTCCAACAAGGCCTTCGAGAAGAAGTGAGGGACACGGGGGACGCGGTGGGGACACGGCCCGGGGCAGGGCGTGGTCGTGGGAGTCATTGAAGGGCTCATTTCTGGTGCTGGAGACATCTTGGGGTCTTCAGATGGGGGTTGGGGACATCTTGGGGTCTTCAGATGGGGGTTGGGGACATCTTGGGGTCTTCAAAGGAGTTGGGGACATCTTGGGGTCTTCAGATTTGAGATGGGGACATCTTGGGATCTTCAGATTGGGGTTGGGGACATCTTGGGGTCTTCAGTTGGGAGCTGGGGACATCTTGGGGTCTTCAGATGGGAGTTGGGGACATCTTGGGGTCTTCAAAATGGAGTTTTGGACATCTTGGGGTCTTCAGAGGAGTTGGGAACATCTTGGGGTCTTCAAGTGGTTCCTTCCAAGGTTTCAGACCCATCTTGAGGTCCCCACGTAGCTCCTTCCAGAGGTTGGGGACATTTTGGGGTCTTCTCCTGGCAAACCTGGGTGACATTTTGGTGTCCCCAACCTCTTCCACCCCAAACCAGGACCCGCATTGGTGTCTCCAACCCTTGGTCACGTTTTGGTGTCTCCAACCCTTGGTCACGTTTTGGTGTCTTCCAACCTTTGGTCACGTTTTGGTGTCTTCCAACCTTTGGTCACGTTTTGGTGTCTTCCAACCTTTGGTCATGTTTTGGTGTCCCCAATGTTTGGTCACGTTTTGGTGTCCCCAACCTTCTCCTGCCCCATGCAGACCGAGGGTTTTGATGTCCCCGGGTTTCTCCAGCCTGTCCTGGGTGTCCCCTGGGTGTCCCTGAGGTGTCCCTGAGGTGTCCCCGTGTCCCCCCAGGTTCAAGTTCGACTACACCAACGAGCGGGCGCTGCGCCGGACGCTGCAGGAGGAGCTGGTCAAGGACATCCTGTCCAACGCCCACATCCAGAACGAGCTGGAGCGCGAGTTCGACCGCATGCGCGAGGACAGGGAGGTCCTCAGGGTCATCTTCCCCACTGGGGACAGCAAGGTGACACCAAAACCCACCCCGAAAACCCCCGGGACACCCCAAAACCCGACTGAGATACTCCAAAACCCACCTGGGACATCCCAAAACCCGACTGAGATACTCCAAAACCCACCTGGGACATCCCAAAACCCGACTGAGATACCTCAAACCCAACTGAGATACCCCAAACCCAACTGAGATACCCCAAACCCAACTGAGATACCTCAGACCTAACTGAGATACCTCAAACCCAACTGAGATACCCCAAACCCAACTGAGATACCCAAAACCCAACTGAGATACCCCAAAACCCAACTGAGATACCTCAAACCCAACTGAGATACCTCAAACCCAACTGGGACACCCCAAAACCCAACTGAGATACCCCAAAACCCAACTGAGATACCCCAAACCAAACTGGGATGACCCCAAAACCCAACTGAGATACCCCAAAACCCAACTGAGATACCCCAAACCCAACTGAGATACCCCAAAACCCAACTGAGATATCCAAAACCCGACTGAGATACCCCAAAACCCAACTGAGATACCTCAAACCCAACTGGGACACCCCAAAACCCAACTGAGATACCCCAAAACCCAACTGAGATATCCAAAACCCAACTGAGATACCCCAAAACCCAACTGGGACACCCCAAACCCAACTGGGACACCCCAAAACCCAACTGAGATACCCCCAAACCCAACTGGGACACCCCAAAACCCCAAATTCCAACCAGGACAACACAAAATGTCCACGAAATCCAACCAGGGCACCCTAAAAACTCCTGGGACACCCCAAAACCCAACCGGGATGACCCAAAACCCACCTGGGACTCCCCAAAACCCAACCGAGATGCTCCAAAATCCAACTGCGATGACCCAAAACCCCTCTGAGATGTCCCATTTTTGGGTTCTGACTCCCTCATTTTGGGGTTCTTCCCCAATTTTGGGGTTCTTCTCCTATTTTGGGGCTCTGTCCCCCATTTTTGACCCCTGTCCCCCGTTTTTTTGGGGTTCTCCTCCCCCAGGTGGTGCTCCCCTGTAACCTGCTCCGCATGATCTGGAACGCGCAGAAGATCTTCCACATCAACTCCCGGCTGCCCTCGGACCTGCACCCGGTCAAGGTGGTGGAGGGTGAGTGGTGGCGAGGGTCTGGGGTCCTTCTGGAAGGTTCTGGAAGTCCTTGAGTCCCTCAGGAAAGTTCTGGAGGTCCTTGAGTATCTCAGGAAGGTTCTGGAGTTCCTTGAGTCCCTCAGGAAGGTTCTGGAGATTCTTGAGTTCCTCAGGAAGGTTCTGGAGGTTCTTGAGTCCTTTAGGGGTCCCTCAGGAAGGTTCTGGAGATCCCCAAGTCCCTCAGGAAGCTGTGGTGGGTTTGGGGTCCCTTAGGAAGGTTCTGGAAGCCCTTGAGTCCCTCAGGAATGTTCTGGAGATCCTTGGGTCCCTCAGGAAGGTTCTGGAGATCTTTGAGTCCCTCAGGAGGTGTAGTGGGTTTGGGGACCCTCAGGAAGTTTCTGGAGATCCTCAAGTCCCTCAGGAAGGTTCTGGAGATTCTTGAGTCCTTCAGGAAGGTTCTGGAGGTTCTTGAGTCCTTTAGGGGTCCCTCAGGAAGGTTCTGGAGATCCTTGAGTCCTTCAGGAAGGTTCTGGAGGTTCTTGAGTCCTTTAGGGGTCCCTCAGGAAGGTTCTGGAGATNGTCCCTCAGGAAGGTTCTGGAGATCCTTGAGTCCTTCAGGAAGGTTCTGGAGGTTCTTGAGTCCTTTAGGGGTCCCTCAGGAAGGTTCTGGAGATCCTCCAGTCCCTCAGGAAGCCGTGGTGGGCGTGGAGACCCCCAGGAGCTCTCTGGCCGCCCTCGGTGGCCGCCGTGACCGCGCTGTCCGCAGGGGTGAAGGAGCTGAGCCGGAAGCTGGTGATCGTCAACGGGGAGGACCCGCTGAGCCGGCAGGCGCAGGAGAACGCCACGCTGCTCTTCAACATCCACCTGCGCTCCACGCTCTGCAGCCGCCGCATGGTGGAGGAGTTCCGGCTCAGCGGGGAGGCCTTCGACTGGCTGCTGGGGGAGATCGAGTCCAAGTTCAACCAGGCCATTGTGAGGAGAAGGCTTGGGGTCACCTCTGGGGGTTTGGGGTCACCTCTGGGGGTTTGGGGTGACCTCTGGGGGGTTTGGGGTCACCTCTGGGGGGTTTGGGGT